ATTGATTATTTTTACTTGTTTACTGTTATTTTTATTTTTATTAGATCTAACGTGAGCGATTTTTGAATTTGCTCATTTATTTATTTATTTGCATTAATTTTTACTTGTTTTTTTTTTCTTATTTATTTGCATATTTTTTTATTTTGTATATTTTTATTTACTCTATTAGGTTTTCGATTTTTGAGTAGCGTAATAATTAATTTTTTTTTGAGTAGCGTAATAATTTTTATCATTATATAGCAGTTACAGCTATTTTCTTGTCCAATTTTTTGGGTTCATTTTTGCAGTCTATTCTACCGATTATTTGATTGATTAGTTTTTTTCATTTATATTTTATTTATATATATATATTTATATATATATATATATATATATATATATATATATATATATATATTCTACCTTTACAAGAACCATTTTCAGGCAGAAAATCGAGTACTGATGCAATAACTGGGCTGGAGATGCACATCCTTCACTTTCCAGATCCAAAAGGCGCATATTTTTATTTAATATTTTCATTAAACAAATAAAATGATAAGTATACGATCAATTTTTATCCTTCTTTTCAGTTTGTGTTTCATCGATTTCCTTAATCAATCATTTCTTTTCTCTTCTTTGTAGAGTGCGGATTAAAGCAGAGAAAAGACTGGAGGCTTTACCTACCGAAGTTAAGCAACGTCAATCCTGGTTAGTACTACATGGGTAATCCCTTATGAATACAAGGTGCCCTAATCCAAGCTTTCTACCGAACGGGCAATGACTTCCTCATGTTGCTTGGTTTTGTTTCATTTGGTTTGGCTTGTTTTATGACATATGAGCTTCAATGGGTTATTTACTGCCGACAACGTTTTTATTGCTGGCAATATTTTTTCCAATGGTTTATTGCTGGAAATATTTCCCCTTCAAAAATGTACTGCTAGTAATATTTATTTCCTCAAAAATATATTACTGGTAATAATGTATTGATGGTAATAAGTTTTACTCAAAAAATTTATTGTTGGCTTCAGTGTCGGGGTAGTTGGTCTGTCCTCAGGGACTATCCACGGTCCGGGTACGTCTCCGGTCGGTGCTAGGTCCCTGAGAGACACATTAGACTCTCTACCATCTGCATGTTGTACTAGAGCGTACTGGGGGTTCGCCTCTATAAGCTCTACCAAGGGATCGTTCTTGGTGTAACGTGCATGTCGTCTCAGAAACATAGTACCGGGTCGAGAGAGCCAAGATGGAAGCGAAGCTCACGGTATCGGGCAGGGCATTTGTAGACCTCCCGTTAATTTTCACTTTTACAATAGTTTTTGAAAGGCAGTCGGGGGAGGCGGCTAAAGTTGCAGAAGTATTTTGACGAGTGGATTTGTATAGAGTTTTAGAAGACTTGCATACCTTTGAAAAATGACCAAGTTTTCCACATTTATGACAACGAGTATCTCTGGCAGGACATGAAACTCGTAGGTGTTTAGATAAGCCGCAAAAATAGCAGGTGTCCATTTTTAAAGCGGTAGTGACCGATTGTTCTTGAAGCTTCGTCGGACTATCGTCATGAGCGGAGGTAGTAGGAACAGGTGGGTTTAACGCGGCGCCCACGGTGTCTGGCTGTAAATAAGAACTAGATTGCTGTATAGCACTTTCGAAGATATAGGCTTGCTCGTAAGCTGTTCTAAGTGTAAGGGTCTTATTCTCAAGAAGACGTTATCTTATCTGAGTATTATGTAAGCCGCTAATGAAGGCGTCCAAAATGTGTTGCTCTTGGGCCTCTAATGCCGTTATTGGGCAGAAGTTGCAATCTTTGCTCAGTGTCCGAAGGCTCTTAAGGAAATGGTCCAATGTTTCGCCTGATTCTTGACGGCGAGTCGCAAGTAGGTGGCTAGAAAATATCTCATTTTTGGGCTTTATGTATGTAGCGTTCAGTACATCGATTGCTTCTTCGTAGGTAACGCAATCCGAGATAATTTCGTTGACAGTGTCAGACAGGTAGTTGGTTAGGAGCGCACGCTTATTGATGGGACGTCCCGGTCTTTCTGAATGTAGAAACTCGATGAAATTTGTAAATGTCTCCCGCCAATGTTTCCAGCACTTGTCGGCTGAATCGCTTTCTGGATCTGTGGTAAATCGCTCCGGTCGCATAAATTGTTCCATTCTTAATTGAATAAATTGTTATGAAAACAGGACAAGAGATTCTGTCTAGTAATCTTTTATTCAATTAAGAATCTTACTACTCGTCTACTTGACAAAAGGAAATTTACAGCTTTTATAGCTTGGATTATCAAAGAGGAGATAATCCATATTCGCAACAATAGCTAAGGATCGGAAACTCATAGCGGATTGAAATAAACTTCATATATATATATATATATATGAAGTTTATTTGAAATTGAAATAAACTTCATATATATATATATATATATATATATATATATATATATATATATATATATATATATGAAGTTTATTTCAATCCGCTATGATTCGCTTGAAGATGAAATGGAACTAATGCTTTTAATTTAATTGCAAAATTAAATTCGGGGTTTTTAGCTTCAATTTTTGAAACATGGTTGGAACTGTGTAGGGAAAAAACATATTTTAAATCAATTAATTTATAATATATATATATGCATATATATATATATATATATATATATATATATATATATATATATATATATACCCAAGTATAGGATTGGTCTATACGGAATAAATTCTCATAACCAACAAATATTATTCTTAAAAGAGTGCTCAATACAGAGTTGAGTGAATATAATTATTTATTCGCATATTATAACATAAATATGTTATAAAATCACTACAAAAATAGACATTTTGTTTCAACACTTCTGGTGTCTTATCAAATGAGATTAAACACCATCACTTGATAAGACACCAGAAGTGTTGAAACAAAATGGCTAGTTTTGTTTGATTTTATAACATATTTCTGTTATAATATTCGAATAAATAATTATATATATATAACAGCAAAATGACCAAATCGTGTAAAAGTAAAGTTGTCCCATTGTTAGAATAAGCTCTGAACCGTTGTATCTTACAAATGTTTACAGATGCCTTACTGGAATTCTCTGAGGTTTTTATAACGCTACTGGACTCTCCTTTGAGCAATAAGAATGTATAATTACTCTCCAAGTATAAGAGAAGAATGGTGATGAAATCGATCATAGACGAAATTGATATGTTCATCATTAATTAATCATAGCTAAGGATCGGAAGCTCATGAAGGATTGAAATAAAGTTCAAATATATATGTATTATTCCAGAATAATTTTTCAACTTATTCAAGATGATCTTTGCCCTCTCCTAACTTCTAACTTTCTATCCTGTGTAACAAGATGTCTCACCGTTTTCACGTACTATTTCATTTTCAAGCCGTTTTTCACTGTTCTTTGAACTGTCATAGATGAAACTCCTCTATCATATGCCAAACGTCTTAGGGATTGAGTTGGATCTTTTCTAATTGATCTCTTTAGCTCTAAAGTGAAATGATGATCCATCTTCCTGTTGTGAACATTTGATCCAGTTTTCCACTCTACTGTTCACTCTTTTTTGAACTTATTCACTGTTCTCTTGCTGGTTCTAGAATAGGCTTTGAAGATGGGGGCCAGAGTATGAATGTTGGTACCGTTACTGAAGGCTTGATGATCTTTTTTCCTCTCACCATTGCTCATTTGGAAAAGCAGTGGTGCTGACACAAAACGATTTTTTAACTCAAAACGTTTTTTCAACAAATGGTATCAGGATGGATAAAAGTCTTATCTGAAGATTATTTTTAAATATTAAACATTTTGTAGGATGGTCAGGCTGTAACACGATTTGGACAGTTTTTTGCTAAATTATATATATATATATATATATATATATATATATATATATATATATATATATTTGTGTGCCTGTATGATGCAGCAGAAATACCTTTTACAATTACTTCATAAATACCCTTTACAAATATATATATATAGATAGATAGATAGAGAGAGAGAGAGAGAGAGAGAGAGAGAGAGAGGTAAACATTGAAGTCAATACTCAGAGGCGACAGGCTGTTTCATGCTAGACGCAATTATCAGGCCGTGGGAGTTGGATTTTTCTCGACTCTTTATATATATATATATATATATATATATATATGGGTCAGTGGTGCATTGTAGGTAATCCATTCTGGCGTGTATTTGGACGGGAGTGGCTTGTTTATTTATTTATTTGGGTTAATTTATTTTATTTGTGTTTTATTTTTATTTTTTATTTTATATATTTATTTATTCTTTTCGGTTTTCGATGTTTTATTAACGTAATAAAAATGAGGGGGATTTGCTTAGATCGCTTATTTAACAGTTTGTTTTGGTCTGGGAAGATAAAGCTAGTTATTCGTCCAATTTTTGGATTGATTGCCGTAGCCACTTCTGTTATTGGGGACAGTTTTTACTTTGTTTATTATGTTATTTATTTATTTATTTGGATTGATTATTTTTACTTGTTTACTGTTATTTTTATTTTTATTAGATCTAACGTGAGCGATTTTTGAATTTGCTCATTTATTTATTTATTTGCATTAATTTTTACTTGTTTTTTTTTCTTATTTATTTGCATATTTTTTATTTTGTATATTTTTATTTACTCTATTAGGTTTTCGATTTTTGAGTAGCGTAATAATTAATTTTTTTTTTTTGAGTAGCGTAATAATTTTTTATCATTATATAGCAGTTACAGCTATTTTCTTTGCAGTCTATTCTACCGATTATTTTGGCGGGATTAGTTTGTTAATTCATTTTTTTTTTACTTTATTTGATTGATTATTTTTACCTATATTTTATTTATATATATATATATATATATATATATATATATATATATATATATATATATTCTACCTTTACAAGAACCATTTTCAGGCAGAAAATCGAGTACTGATGCCATAACTGGGCTGGAGATGCACATCCTTCACTTTCCAGATCCAAAAGGCGCATATTTTTATTTAATATTTTCATTAAACAAATAAAATGATAAGTATACGATCAATTTTTATCCTTCTTTTCAGTTTGTGTTTCATCGATTTCCTTAATCAATCATTTCTTTTCTCTTCTTTGTAGAGTGCGGATTAAAGCAGAGAAAAGACTGGAGGCTTTACCTACCGAAGTTAAGCAACGTCAATCCTGGTTAGTACTACATGGGTAATCCCTTATGAATACAAGGTGCCCTAATCCAAGCTTTCTACCGAACGGGCAATGACTTCCTCATGTTGCTTGGTTTTGTTTCATTTGGTTTGCCTTGTTTTATGACATATGAGCTTTAATGGGTTATTTACTGCCGACAACGTTTTTATTGCTGGCAATATTTTTTCCAATGGTTTATTGCTGGAAATATTTCCCCTTCAAAAATGTACTGCTAGTAATATTTATTTCCTCAAAAATATATTACTGGTAATAATGTATTGATGGTAATAAGTTTTACTCAAAAAATTTATTGTTGGTATTAAAACTAATTTTTACACTTTCATAGCCTTCTGACCCCAGTTTGGAGATTAACTATTTGGACCCTAACAGGTGCTACCACTCCGGGTCAGGGTGGACCGGGAAACCCCAATAAGTAAGACGTGGTTCTACGCTCCTCAAAACCTCCTGAACAGAGGCCTTGCTGCAAGAGGTAGTTATTTTGGCATACCCAGGACGCCTTCATTTTGCCTCTTCATTTTTCTCAGGTGTATGCCAACAAACCGTCGCACGTCCAGAAGGAAAGCATGGGTGTAAACAAACGTCAAACCAAGAATGAGAACTTTATTCTCGTTTCTAATACATTTAGTTGTTTTATTCAGGACTTCGCTTGATCGGTTTGGGCCGGTACATAGATGTCATTTGAGCTAACATATGCAATGTTGGACTTAACAGCTCAGCTCTTCCTCCAACCCGAACTCTGTGGCTGACAATACGAGCGGGCTGCATCGGAACTGCCCGATGGAAAGTCTGACCCCGGCAAAGGACTCAACAGAATATAATTCTTTGGTCTCAACTGTGACCATTAGGATAGATCAACAAGCGGAAATCATCAATGTCCGGTTTAGTTGCCACTTACCCCCAAAACCTTTCTTATGTTTAATTATTTTTAATTTTTCTTTCCCCTCTGTCATGTTGGTGACGCTAAGAAGTTCTGACTTCAAATGACCAATACGCCGGCCATAAAACGGAAAATTTTAAGATCGAGATCACCTTTCACTTTTAAGTAGCTGTCTCCAACATAGTGTCAAATCATACCATATTAAATACAGGAGAAATGATTCAACAGAGCCATTTTCAAAACAAATGCCCAAAACTATATCAGCTGAGCTCTGACAGTTAAACACTGTGAACAGTTAAGTGATGTTGGCTCAAAATATTTCCACATTCAATGCAGGCGGGATCAGTGGCATAACCAGCAAGTTAGATCTGTGTTGTTTCACTTCTGTAGAATATGGCGAAGTACATTCCTATTTGTTATAAACATAGTACAAATATCGTCATATCTATCTATCTATCTATCTATCTATCTATCTATCTGTATCTGTTCATATCTATCTCAAAATGTTCATAACTTTATATCTATCTCAATATGTTCATATCTATTTATCCATCTCAACCTGTTCGTATCCATTGATCTCATTCCATCTATCTATCTATCTATCTATCTATCTATCTATCTATCTATCTATCTATCTATCTATGTCAACCTCTTCATGTCTATCTTAATCTGCCCATCTATCTAAATATATTCATATTAATATCTATCTATCTATCTATCTATCTATCTATCTATCTATCTATCTATCTATCTTTTTTTTAAGCATTACGCCCCAAGCAAGGCGTGAAGCCACTAGGATGCTGGGGGTTGCAGAAGATTTGGAACGAGAACAGATAGGAGTGATAGGCAAAAGGATGAGGAGAAGGATAGTGGGTAGATCAAGGCAACTGGAGATGTCGATTGACATTACATTTGAATAGTTGGAGATTATAGCTTTCAGGGAAACAGTAATTGGGGAGTGTGTTCCACTGCCGAGAGGTATGAAGCTATTGGAGTAGAAGAGACGGCTACATTTGAAAGTTTCTATGGTGTGAGGGTGGGAGCGGGATGCCAGCCTCGTAGGGCGCTTAAATTCATGGAGTCTGGGAACCAGAGAAAGCAGCTCGTCAGAGCAGTTACCATGGAAGTATTTGTAGAAAAGACAGAGAGAGGCGAAAGCGCGTCTGTGAGAGAGTGACTGCAGACGAGACGCTAGATCAGGGCCAATTAGATTACATATCCGTCTCTGGATCTTGTCAAGAACTCCGAGGTAAGCAGAAGGTGCCCCATCCCATATATGGCAGCAATACTCCATGCAAGGGCGAATGGTTGTTTTGTATATTTGAAGTATCGATTCAGGGGAGAAAAATTTCCTGGCGCGGCACAGAGATCCAACTTTCCTCGCGGTGGAAGATGCAATTGACTCAATGTATTTGTTCCATCTCAGGTCAGCAGTCAGCGTGAGACCGAGCAGGCGCAGGGAGTTGCTCTCAGGAAGTTGACTATCAGACATTTTAATGGGGGGCAGGGAAGGATCTCTATGGTGGTTAATGGAGAGTAGTTTAGTTTTTGTGGCGTTAAAGTTAACCAGCCAATTCTTGCCCCAGTTAACAACCGATTGGAGGTCCATTTCAAGACGCACGGCCAGGTTAGTTTTGTCGCCGACACTAGATTTGTTTTTGAGGCAGGAGTAAATTGTAGTGTCGTCTGCATAGATGCCAACTTGGGAATATATAGCGTCAGGAAGGTCATTGATGAAAATCATGAAAAGAGTGGGGCCAAGGATGGAGCCTTGGGGAACACCTGCGTTCGTGGGATAGGAACTGGAGGAGAATCCGTTGAGAACGACCTTCAATTCTCGGTTTGACAGGAATGATTGTATTAGATCAAACAGTCGACCAGTAACACCATACCCCTGGAGCTTACGAAGAAGGCCGGCGTGCCAAACCCTATCGAATGCTGTGGAGATGTCGAGGGCCACGGCATGAGCCTCAGCGTTATTTTGAAGGGCTTGGTAGACGGTTTCAGTGATGGCCGTAAGCACACCAGCTGTAGATCGGGCGTAGCGGAAACCATATTGCTTGTCTGAGAGCAGATTATGAGATGTAAGGTGATTAACCTAATCCGGCATTGATTAGGACTTTGAAGAGGGGTAGGAGACTAATGGGACGGTAATTAGAGGGATCAGAGGGGTCTCCAGAGTTCTTAAACACAGGAACAATGGATGAGGACTTCCAGCAGTCTGGAAAACAGGATTCCTTGAGGCAGTAATTATACAGTTTAGAGAGGGCGGGTGCTAGCTCAGGCGCGCATTTCTTCAGGACAATGGCTGGTAAGCCATCTCCACCACTAGCCTTGTGGGGGTCTAAGGTGGAGATAATGCCTAGTACCAATGACGGGGTTATGTGTAAGCCGCTCAGTAAGGCCTCAGTTCTAGGAAGGAAGTCTGGTATGGGTGCACCGGTGGAGTCGAGCGTTGAATTAAATGAGAATATCCGAGCAAAGCATTCAACCTTGTCGGTAGAGGAGGTCAAGACCTCGAACTGGTTGAATAAAGGAGGTATGGAGGGTATTCTATTGTTCAGGACGTTCTTGCAGACCCGCCAATAATCTTTGGAGCCAAATTTGCGAGATGCAATATGTTCCTTCATCCGAGCAGCAAATATTGACTTAGTTTCGTTGAGGACACGCTTACACTCGTTACGGGCAGAGGCAAAGAGACGTCTATTGCAGTCCGACATGTCTATCTATCTATCTATCTATCTATCTATCTATCTATCTATCTATCTATCTATCTATCTATCTATCCCAGTTTCTTCATATCTATCTATCTATCTATCTATCTCAGTCTCATGATGGTTTTCATTTTAAGGATTAGATTCTTATTTCGTTAACATTTAAAAGCTTTTTTTTTTTCTTTCCTTTGCACAGGTTGGTTTTCTAACTGAACCCTGGGATATATGCAAACAATAGCCAGAAGCATTCTCTTAGGGAAAACAACATAAGCTATGTATGTATGTATGTATGTATGTATCTCAGTCTTTCATTATCTATCTATCTATCTATCTATCTATCTATCTATCTCAGTCTATCCTTCTATCTCAGTCTTTTCAGTATCTACTAATCTATCTATCTATCTATCTTTCTATATATCTCAGTATTTTTATTATTTATCTATCTATCTCCGTCTTTTCATTATCTATCTATCTCTCTCTATCTATCTATCTCACTCTTTTTATCTATCTATCTATCTATCTATCTATCTATCTATCTATCTATCTCAGTCTTTTCATTATCTATCTATCTATCTCAGTCTTTTCACTATCTATCTATCTATCTATCTATCTATCTATCTATCTATCTATCTATCTATCTGTGTCTGTTTATATCTATCTCAAACTGTTCATATCTATTTATCCATCGCAATCTGTTCGTATCCATTGATCTCATTCCATATCTATCTCTCTCTCTCTCTCTGTCTCTGTCTCTCTCTCTGTCTATCTATCTATCTATCTATCTATCTATCTATCTCAGTCTCTTCATTTTCTATCTATCTATCTATCTATCTATCTATCTATCTATCTATCTATCTATCTATCTATCTATCTATCTATCTCAATATGTTCCTATCTACTCAACCATTTCAACCTGCTCGTATCCCTTGATCTCATTCCATATCTATCTATCTATCTATCTATCTATCTATCTATCTATCTATCTATCTATCTATCTATCTCAGTCTCTTCATTTTTTATCTATCTATCTCAATATGTTCCTATCTACTCAACCATTTCAACCTGCTCGTATCTATTGATCTCATTCCATATCTATCTATCTATCTATCTATCTATCTATCTATCTATCTATCTATCTATCTATCCGCTCCTTTGCTAGAATATATCCAGAATTTATATTTACAAGTATCGTCATCGTAATGCTAAGAACTCTAACAATTGAGCTCAAATAACACCCACATTCGAGGACAGCGGCCCAGTTCAGCGTTCCTTGCAACAACAGAATATGGCTCAACACGCTCCGATTCACTATTAACCAGACAGATATGTTTTCCCCAGTTTTTGTGGTTCAAGAACTAGACATAAAATCCTCATTTGACCTTTTATGTTTAAATTGATTGTTAAATCAAACATTTAAATCAAACTCTATTCGGCGAGTCAATTAGCCAACGGAGCAGGACGAATTTTTAAGCTGTGACGTGACTAACATCACTATCACGTCCTTTCTTTTACCTCAGCTTTATTTCACTTTTATGCCTGTATTTTTTTTTCCCTGGCTTCACTGAATTAATTTCATTTAATGATCAGCTTTGATGATCGGGTCGTTTTACAGCGATAAGATTTTGACAAATTAAGTTTCTTTGTTGTTCATGTCTCATAAGACTAATTTAAATAATGTTAAGGCTGTTTTTTTTTTTTACGGTATTCTAATGTTCCAAATATATAAAAGGAAAGAAGGTTGTTGAATATAATCAGATTTTATATTTACAAATGGAGGGAGAAATGGATATAGAAACAAATAGAGTCACAGGAGAAGAAAGAAAGAAAGAAAGAAAGAAAGAAAGAAAGAAAGAAAGAAAGAAAGAAAGAAAGAAAGAAAGACTTGATAAATGAAAGAAGTAAAGAATTAATGAGTTCATGAAAGAAAGAAAGAAAGAAAGAAAGAAAGAAAGACTTGACAAATGAAAGAAATAAAGAATTAATGAGTTCATGAAAGAAAGAAAGAAAGAAAGAAAGAAAGAAAGAAAGACTTGACAAATGTAAGAAATAAAGAATTAATGAGTTCATGGATGAAAGAAAGAAAGAAAGAAAGAAAGAAAGAAAGAAAGAAAGAAAAGAAACTTGACAAATGAAAGAAATAAAGAATTAATGAGTTCATGGAACAAATGAAAGAAAAAAAATAAATGAAAAAGTAAAGAATTAATGAGTTCATGAAGAAAGAAAGAAAGAAAGACTTGATAAATGAAAGAAAAAAGAAAATGAGTTCATGAAAAATGAAAGAAAGAAAAGAATTAATGAGTTGACAAATGAAAGAAATAAAGAATTAATGAGTTCATGGAAGAAAGAAAGAAAGAAAGACTTGATAAATGAAAGAAGTAAAGAATTAATGAGTTCATGGAAGAAAGAAAGAAAGAAAGAAAGAAAGAAAGAAAGACTTGACAAATGAAAGAAATAAAGAATTAATGAGTTCATGAAAGAAAGAAAGAAAGAAAGAAAGAAAGAAAGAAAGAAAGACTTGACAAATGAAAAAATGAAGAATTAATGAGTTCATGGAAGAAATAAATCTATCTATCTAGCTAGCTAGCTATCTCACTTTCTTCATTATCTATCTATGTACTCATTATGTTCATTTCTATCTATTTATCTATGTATTTGTCACAGTACATTCATATCTATCTATCTATCTATCTATCTATCTATCTATCTATGTCAATCTTTTCATTATCTATCAATCTATCTATCTCAGTCTATTCATTATATATCTATTTATCTACCTCAGTCTGTCTATCTATCTATCTATCTATCTATCTATCTATCTATCTATCTATCTATCTATCTCAGTCTTCTCATTATCTATCTATCTATCTATCTATCTATCTATCTATTTATCTATCTATCACCTCCTCTCTTAGAATATATCCAGATGTTATATTTACAAATATACCTACCTGTTTAGTTATTCACCCGGTTTGTTGGCGTAGCTGAGGTCGCATTCATTCGGTTGTGCAAATTCATGGTTGGAGTTTCAGTGAAAATTCTGTATTAACAAACGGTTCCGAGCCGCATGTATGCACAAGTTTTGTTATTGTGGGTTCCGGTTTGAATTCAGTGTTACCTTCACCGAGACTAGTTCTTACCCAAGGCTATATGGCACCATCTGTCATGCTGTTTTAAATTTACCTGGGGTTTGAGAAATAGAGATGGATTCATAGCTTAATTAGAAATATCGGAATTTATAAAGAGAGAGAGAGAGAGAGAGAGAGCGATAGGGAGACAGTTAAAAAGTCACAATAAAAAAAGAAATAAAGAAAAAAAAATGAGACAAATATCATTTTTCCTTGTGGAACGACAGACTCTAGGATTGACATTTTGCCTATAATCTCTCTTACTTTCTCTCTCTCTCTCTCTCTCTCTCTGTATCTATCTACCTGTCTATCTATCTATCAAGATTGTTAGTATGGAGGTGAAGGGTTATGAAATTTGAGCACAAGCGTTCGTGTGTATCTGTGATAAGGGATAAATTCATGTATTCTTTTTCTCAAACCCCAGCTAAATTCATGTACATCTTTAAAAACAGACAGATAGATAGATAGATAGATAGATAGATAGATAGATAGATAGATAGATAGATAGATAGATAGATAATAAAATAGAGACATACGAGGTTGGTGCAAAAATAATGACGTATTAATGTCGTTTTTTGACGTTAAAAAATACGTCAAAAAACGACATTGT